GCAGACGGACGCCTAAAAGCCGCAGAAAGCTTTTCAGATTTTTTTTCAAAAATAAATAAAATAAATAAAATAAATAAAATAAATAAAGTAAATAAAATAAATGAAATAAATGAAATAAATGAAATAAAGAAAATAAATGAAATAAACAATTTAAATGAAATAAACAACTCAAATGAAATAAATAAATTAAATGAAATAAATGAAATAAATAAATCAAATGAACTAAATAAAATAAATAAATTAAATAAAATAAATAAAATCCAAAAATTTGATTATTGCGAAAATCCAAATTCACTCTATGACCCCTCAGGAGAAAATAAAAAAGAATTTAAAAGTGAAATAAAAAAAGAAATAAAAAAAGAAATAAATAAAGAAATAAATAAAGAAATAAATAAAGAAATAAATAAAGAAATAAATAAAGAAGCAAATAAAGAAATAAAAAAAGAAATAAATAAAGAAATAAATAAAGAAATAAATGAAGAAATAAATAAAGAAATAAATAAAGAAATAAATAAAGAAATAAATAAAGAAATAAATAAAGAAATAAAAAAAGAAATAAATAAAGAAATAAATAAAGAAATAAAAAAAGAAATAAAAGAAATAAATAAAGAAATAAATAAAGAAATAAATAAAGAAATAAAAAAAGAAATAAAAGAAATAAAGAAAGAAAAAGAAATAAAAGAAGAAGAAGCAGCAGCAGCAGCTTTTTGCTGCTGCTGCATTTTTGGAGACACTTTAGTGTTTGCATTTGGAGGAAAATTAATTTATTTCTTTTCTTTTAAATTCCAAAAAGTCCTTTTGCTGCACCTTGCTGCTGAAGTTGCTGCTGCTGCTGCTGCTGCTGCTGATGCTGCTGCTGCTGCTGCTGCTGCTGCTGCTGCTGACGCAGTTTGCTGCCTCGCTGCACTCAACACACAACCCCACTGCAGCAGCAGCAGCAGCAGCAGCATCAGCAGCATCAGCATCAGCAGCAGCAGCAGCAGCAGCAGCAGCAGCAGCAGCAGCAGCAGCAGCAGCAGCAGCGAGGACTTTTTGCAAGAGGAAGAGGCGCAGCTGTTTGTGGGCTGCAGCAGCGGCAGAATTTATCGGGTAAGAAAAATAAAAATGATTAAATAAATATTTATTTAAATTAAATTGAAATAAATAAATAAATAAATAAATAAATAAATAAATAAATAAATAAATAAATAAATAAATAAATAAATGATTTAAGTTGTAAATGAGGGACATGATGTTGGCAGTTTGTTGCTGCTGTTCCCTCGGGCTTCAGGGGTTTAGGGTTTAGGGTTTAGGGTTTAGGGTTTAGGGTTTGTGCTTAGGTTTCAGGGTTTAGGTTCAGGGTTTAGGGTTTAGGGTTTAGTGTTAATTTGCCAAGTAACTGAAAGTAAAATTGTTCCAAGGTTCAGATATTGGGGATAATGAATAAATGAATAAGGGTTTAGGGTTTAGGGTTTAGGGTTTAGGGTTTAGGGTTTAGGTTCAGGGTTTAGGGTTTAGGGCCAATCCACTACATAAGGGTTTAGGGTTTAGAGTCACTCGGGTAGTCAATCAACTTACGGTGTAGGGTTTAGGGTTGAGTGGATCAATGGAAGATTTGACTTTTGAGTAAATTAGGGTTTAGGGTTTAGGGTTTAGGGTTTAGGGTTTAGGGTTTAGGGTTTAGGGTTTAGGGTTTAAAATATAAAAGCTTGGCAAAAAGATAAACAAATGAGTAAAATAAATAAAATAAATAAAATAAATAAAATAAATAAAATAAATAAAATAAATAAAATAAATAAAATAAATAAAATAAATAAAAAGAATTATTTATTTTTGTTTGCAGTGGATTATCTCCCGCAGCAAATCCCAAAAAACCCTAAAATTCAATTCTCCTTCTTTGCTGCTGCTGCTGCCGCATGCAGCCCCATGCACCAAACTGCTTTGCTGCAGCCTGCAGCAGCAGCAGCAGCAGCAGCAGCAGCAGCAGCAGCAGCAGCAGATGATTAGGCTTTGGCGCGGAGACGGTGTGTCAGTTTCAGGGTTTAGGGTTTAGGGTTTAGGGTTTAGGGTTTAGGGTTTTTGTATTTATTCATTTTTTATTTATTAGTTTATTTATCTTTTAAGTTCAATCGCAATTAATCTTTCCTTGTGAACTTGTTCGGAATTAAACTCGCTGGCCCAGCGTGCCTTCTAAAACCCTAAACCCTAAACCCTAAACCCTAAACCCTAAACCCTAAACCCTGCTGCGTGTGCGTCTGCAGAGGCAGCTTATTGTTTTGCTGCTTCATATTTGGATGCAGCAGCAAAAAGAAAAATCAAATTAGGGTTTTACAAACCCTCAGCTGCTGCAGCAGATGCCCCCTACCTCGCGGTGCAGGCAAGCTAGGGTTTAGGGTTTAGGGTTTAGGGTTTAAGATTTAGGGTTTAGGGTTTAGGGTTTAGGGTTTACGGGCTGGGGTGCGAGGATTGTGTGAGGGCCGTCGTCTTCAAAACGACCAAGAACCCTCAAAAAGAAATCGCC